TTGGAAGACTTTTGTCATCTTTAATAGAATTGAGTATTTTAAATGGTGAATGAAAAATTATATTCAAATATGTTGCTACTCCAAATATTGTGTCTAAATCAGGAATGGGAGTTACATGGCCCTTCAGATGTTAGTGGACTACGATTCTCAACAGTTCTAACCCTCATAGTCAATTGTGAGGAATGCTGGAAGTTGCACCCTAGCTATATATCAAGGGTTGCACACCATCCTAGAAACAAATACTACACTTTCTTTTGTTTATAATAAGTCTTCTGGTTTCTCTCCCCCTGCCCCATTTTTCAATTTACTTTTGTGATGCTAAAAACTAAGATCCAGGTATTTAGGTACCACTAGATGTAACAGTTAGCAGAGTCATCATCATAGGCTATCACTCATGCCAAGTATGATTGCCTTCCAAGTATAGGGTCTCGGCCGTGGGCCCATAGGTGACTGTAGAGACCTATTCTTTCACAGTGAGGACATCAATTTCCAGATGGAAGATGGTCCCGACAAGGGTTGGCTTAGCATGCCTTCCTCTTGACACGTTTTCCCCTTTCTCCCTCCAATTGTGCCTCTTCGAATTCCACAGCACTGTTGGAAGAGCAGACCTCCAGTTAGAACATTCAAGGGCCAGGGCTTCCCAGCTAAGGTTAACTTTAAACCCATCTTTAAATCTCTTTTCCTGTCCACCAACATTCAGTTTTCTGTTCTTGAGTTGGGAGTACAGTAACCTCTTTGGAATACAGTGATGGGGCATTCGGGCAACGTGGCCAGTCCAGCGAAGTTGATGGAGGATCTTTGCTTCTTCCAGCACATTGACATTTGTCTGCTTGTCTTCCCAAGAGATTTGCAAGATTTTTTTTGGAGGCAATGCTAATGGAATTTTTCCAGAAGTTAGGGATATATTGATAGCATATAGTCATTGTTTTGCTTGTAAATTAAGACTCTGTCATTTTAAATTTTATGGATAGGTGTGCCTCCAAGTTGCCTGTCAACTTTGGACAATCAAATATGAAAGAGTTTTCTGATGCCAGGGATACTCTTAGGAGATTTTGCCACTTCGATCCTATGAAATACAGCCTACAGAACCTTCTATTTGCTGTCAGTTTCCCATCCAAGTATTAAACAGGGCTGGCCCTGCTTACTTTCCAAGATCAGATGGGATCGTCCTCTAAAATGCATCCCATGGTACATTGGATATCAATTACTGCAATTTTATATGCCAAGTTATAACTAAAGCATTTTATATTGCAGTAAATAGATTTTGATATACTTTTTTGTTGTTTTGGAAATCATATATATTGGAGCTGAACAGACATACTTGATATTATATTTGGGACCATGTGCATGTAAAGTATGATGTGCTCTAACAAAATGAGAAACTAGGCAGCATGTAAAGCCTTGGAGGCAACTATTCCAAACAATTGAAAAATGGGCTGGCTATGAAACTAAGTTGATGATTTCCTGAGAAATTTAGATACCCTCAACTCTCTGTTGTTATCACCAAGCAGGAACAATTTAATCAGGCTACCTGCAACTCTAAACTTTAAGAATTGATGTCTGTTACTCGATCATCACATTCCTATCCCTGTTTCCTTTAGTGTTCTCTCTACTGCAAAAGCACAAATTGAGGGCAAAATCATCTGTAAGCCTCCATGAAAACATTTTCAGCTTAGTAACAGAGTAAAAATGAAGTGGCAAAGATTGTAGTGAACACTGCAGCAGAATAGATTTTATAATAACTGAGAATTAAATCATTGTTTTTGTAAGGTGGAAATTATTGCTTGTCCCAAGTTCTCTTGCCTCCAGTCATACATGTAGTATCTATCAAAAGTGCTTTTGCACTGCTGCCTTCTCCAATGAAACAACAATTTGGCAGTGCAAAATTTGCTTATGAATGCAAAAACAAGATCAAAGAAGCAATATGGTTTCCAAAGTAGAGCATTAAGACATGTTGCTTTAGCTAGCTCATCCTTTCGATGTATATTTTTTGTATTTCACAAACAGCAATTCATACAGTCATGGTAGCTCCCCAGTTTGCAATATTGTAATTGCTTTCATCGTCAAGGGACAACAAAAATGGGATTTCTAGGCAGCAGGACACTCCCTTCCTTCACAGACAATCCCATAATAATCTGCAATTTCTATTTTTCCAGATGTTATTGGAATGTAATCTTAGGCAAAGTAGTGTAATTGGAGGCTTAGAAGTCACCCACACCTGATCCACAGGCAGGCAGTAGAAGCAATACATTTTACATGGTCTCCAAGGGATCTCATCTGTGAATCTACCTTTTGTGCTACCCACCAACTCTTCATTGGCTAGCCATGCTGTTGAGTCAGGGTGAGTAAGAAGCCCCTGGTGGTGCAATGGGCTAAACCTTTGTGCCAGCAGGACTGCTGACCAAAAGGTTGGTGGTTCGAATCCAAAGAGCAGAGAGCTCCTGACTATCAATTCTATTGCGAGGACATGAGAGAAGCATCCCACAGGATGGTAAAACATCAAACATCTGGCCGTCCCCTGGGCAAAGTCCTTGCAGACGGCCAATTATCTCACAGCAAAAAGTGACTTGCAGTTTCTCAAATTGCTCCTAACACGAAAAAAAAAAGTACGAGTAATACCTTAAACTCATTTTCAGATTCTGATTACGGAATTTCACAAATTGTAGCAACAAGAGTCCTAACAGAGATTGCTGGGGAAAAATACTCTTCCTGAGACATTATAAAGCTGCTACCACTTTCTCAATAATGTTTTATGATCTGCTTCCTAACTGGAACTTTTCAACCATGGCTGAAGGAGATATTAATGGCTACCAGTCAGGTCTAAACAAACATCCTACTGGAGACAGTAGCACAGTGTAGTAGATTGAGTGCCTAGGACATTGGGGTACTAGGGTTTGAATCCCCCTTGGCCGTGAAAACCCACTGAGTGACCTTGGGCAAGTCACACCCTCTCAACCTCAGAGGAAAGCTAGGGAAACCTACCTTTGAACCAATTCTGTGAAGAAAGCCCTGTGATAAACTTGTCAGAACATGAGTGATTGTAGGAAAAAACGGTTTTCTGATTAGACCCATGTCTAATAAGTGCAGTCCTGGTGGTTGAGACATTCCAGGAGTCAACAGATTACAAGAAAATGTTTTTTGTTTGTTTTTTTTGTTCTGGAATTTTTTTTTTTACTATTAGAAGTGTCAACCTCTGAAGCAGAACACCGAGGGCATGCTTTCAGACCTTGAGCAAAGACAGAGTGCCTTAGACTTTTTGGTAATGGTGTTTGAAACCTTGGATAATGCTGCAAACTTCTTTAAAAAACGAAAGGTGCTTTTTGCATACTGTTGCCTTGAACAAGAACTGAACCTGCAAGCACTCAAAAGAATGTGCTTCAGTTGTCCATCTTCAACTACAAGGGTTCACAATTGTCAGAGTAATTAAATAATTATATTGGAGACCAGCACATTTTCAATAAGGTCTGGGTAGGACCTATGTTTTTGAACCATGGCAGCACCAGAATGCACCAAATGCATGATGATTCTGGTCCAACAGATCAAGCCAAAGGAAATCTCTGGCATTAGGGCAGTTTGAGTTGGAAAAATCAAATTAAATCAGGAAGATCTGTTTTTGATTTCATGGAATCTGACTTCTACTTTCTTCCTTCTTTATATGAGTGTGAGTCATAAATCAAACACGGAGGTCATTAGCGTTCAGGTCTCATGCTTTGTATGCTGCATCTTAACTATAAAAAGATCTGTCCATCAGAGGTAACCAGACACCTACCCTTGTGTATTGCTTACTTAGAAACTTGTAACTTGGGCAGTCCTCCCCATTGAAGGCAGGATAAGAGCAATATGTCGAACACTTCTGCCTCTTTTCAACCATGGAGGGCTATGTGTGACTGCCAGAAGTAGTTTAACTCATGTGGTGATGAGCACAGTGCCTCTCCATGCTTGAAAAGAAGCTTAAGGGTCAGAGGAGGGGGAAATTTCCCAATGTGATTTTTTTTTTTTTAGTGTCAGAAGCGACTTGAGAAACTGCAAGTTGCTTCTGGTGTGAGAGAATTGGCCGCCTGTAAGGACGTTGTTCAGCGGATGCCCGGATTATTAATATTTTTATGAGTGATGGTCACTCGTTGCCCGATAGGTGAACCCTACAAACGAACATTACATTTTTATTTATATAGACTAGCCATCCCTAGCCAAGCGTTGCTGTGGTCCAGTCTGTATATATGTTCTTTGTGTGTGTATATGTGTGTTTGTGTGTGTGTGTGTATATATATATATGTAGTTTTGCACATGTGTTGTAATGTATTTTTTAATTTTTTGGCTTTGTAAGTCTTTTCTGCTATTTTTTCAGTGTTTTTATAAATGATGGTCACTCATTAACATGAGAGGTGTCTTGTGTCCAAATTTGGTGTCAATTTGTCTAGTGGTTTTTGAGTTCTGTTAATCCCACAAACGAACATTACATTTTTATTTATATAGACTAGCCGTCCCTAGCCACGCGTTGCTCTGGCCCAGTCTGTATATATGTGTGTGTGTAATTTTGCACATGCGTTGTATTTTTTATTTTTTTGGCTTTGTATGTCTCTTCTGCTATGTTTTCAGTGTTTTTATGAGTGATGGTCACTCGTTGGCCTGAGAGGTGTCTTGTGTCCAAATTTGCTGTCAATTCGTCCAGTGGTTTTTGAGTTCTGTTACTCCCACAAACGAACATTACATTTTTATTTCTATAGATAGATTGGGGGCTGCCTTTTCACAAGGCCTTCTCAGCCCAAGAGTGCCAAACTACAGCCCCCAGGATTCCATAGGCGTGCGCCATTGCAGTGAAAGCAGCGTCAAACCGTATTAATGACGTAGAGACAGACACCAAGCCTTATCCCGCGTCGGGAGCATTTCCCGCCCAAACCGCTCGTGAGCCTGCGGTGCGTCCATCTATCGGCGCGCGAGGCGGAGAAGGAGGAGGAGGAGGGGTGAAGAGGCGGGGGCGGGGCCATCCCGAGAGGCCCCGCCCCCAGGGGGGTGACGGACTAGCCGGGCGGGAGCCGAGAGCCGCCGCTTGTTTCTCCTGTTCTCTCGGCGCTGGGGCGCAGCGGGTGGCCATGCGGGACTACGACGACATCATCGCCTTCCTGGGCGAGTGGGGGCCCTTCCAGCGGCTGGTCTTCTTCCTGCTCAGCGCCAGCATCATCCCCAACGGCTTCAACGGCATGTCGGCGGTGTTCCTGGCCGGCATCCCCGAGCACCGCTGCCGCATCCCGGAGGGCGCCAACCTGAGCGCGGCCTGGCTCAACGCGAGCGCCCCGCTGGAGGAGCGCGGCGGGAGGGCGGTGGTCTCGCGGTGCCGGCGCTTCAGCCTCCGCGCCCTGGCCAACCTCTCGGCCCAGGGGCTGCTCCCGGCGGACGTGGACCGGGCCGCCCTCCCGCAGGAGCCCTGCCTCGACGGATGGGAGTACGCCACCGAGCCCTACCTCGCCACCATCGTCAGCCAGGTGAGCGCGAGGGGGAGAGCCAGCCAGCCAGCCAGCAGGCACTGTCTGCACCCAAACGCTTTGGAAGCGGGGCTGAGGGAGGCGACAGGAGGGGCTCGTGCACATGGCTAGCCAATGGGAGCCCTTGCCATGAAAGGCCGCTCGCGAGTGCTGCTCGTCACGCACAGCCAGCCGCACACCTGCCGGCATTCCCGCTCACGCGCCGCCCTTAAAGGGACCCTCTCCATAAGGGAGGGAGGGCTGCGTCATAGGAGGCAGTCGGGCCCTCGGCGCACGTGCCCCCCCCTTCCCTCCGGCGCGCGCGCAGGCAGCCGTCACTCCTTTCCACCACCACCCCTCCGCCTGGCTGCAATGGTTCGGTCCAAGGATTGCAAAGGGAGGTTACCGCTCTTTGCCCGAGTGGAGAAAACCAAAGAGGCGGGGCGGGGAGTGAGTGGGGACGGACCTTTGTCTCGCGCCTCCCCCCTCGCTGTATTGTATTGTGATGATGACGATAACAATAACAACACGGATAGAAAGGCCATTGAGTATCGTGATAGGCCTCCTCCTCCTCCTAATGGAGCCATAACTAACGGGCGTTCCCAACCTCGAGGAGGAGGAGGAGGAGAAGCAGCAGGGCGCCTGCGGGCAGGCGGAAGGATGCGCGCGAGGGCCCCGCGTGCGCCAGTTCGGCCCTCAAGGGACAGGCGCGCGGGACAGGCTGGTCTCCTCGTAAACGTGGTCCTGCCGGAAGGACAGGAATCGCTTTACTGAGCCAGCCGGCGCTATCTTATCTTTCCTCCAGACACAACACCTCAATGGCACGCCATACTCAGGACATTGACATTTGGCTAGTTCTGATGAATCCGTTGAATTCTCCCTTGCACAGCCAGTCCCTGCCCTTTAGGCCGCCTGTCAACATAGCTCTCTGTCTCCCATCCAAACACTCACCAGGGCTAACCCTCCTGCGCTTCACAGGGTTTAGTGATTATAGAGCAGGCCTGGGTAAACTTCAACTCCCACATTTCCTAAGACCCTACACGCTGCAGGGGATTGTGGGAGTTGAAGTCCAAAGCAGCTGGAGGGCCCAAGTTTGCCCAGGCCTGCTCTAGAGTATTAGTACTGTAGGCTAAGTCCAGCTAGAGTAGAGTGAATTTGGGGTTTGATGATCCATATGTAAAGGCTATTGATCTGGTGCTTTTACAGCAGGGGTCCTCAAACTAAGGCCCAAGGGCCAGATACGGCCCTCCAAGGTCATTTACCCGGCCCTCTCTCAGGGTCAACCTAAGTCTGAAACAGTTTGAAAGCACACAACAACAACAACAATCCAATCTCATCAGCCAAAAGCAGGGCCACACATCCCATTGAAATACTAATAAGTTTATATTTGTTAAAATTGTTCTTCATTTTAATTATTGTGTTGTTGTTTTTTAGTGTTTTTTGCACTCCAAATAATATATGTGCAGTGTGCATAGCAATTCATTCATGGTTTTTTCAAATTATAATCTGGCCCTCCAACAGTTTGAGGGACTGTGACCTGGCCCTCGGTTTAAAAAGTTTGAGGACCCCTGCTTTACAGCATAGTGTAGTGCAGGCATCCTCAAACTACAGCTGGAGGGCATTTTTCCAGCCCACGGGGTGTGGAGAAGGGTGAGAGGCGGCGGGCGAAGCGGCTTCGGGGACGCTTCGCTCGCTGCCTTCCTGGGCCCAGCCTGCTCTTCTCCTGCCTTTGGAACGCGGCCTCGCCTCATAGAATCAAAGAGTTGGAAGAGACCTCATGGGCCATCCAGTCCAACCCCCTGCCAAGAAGCAGGAATATTGCATTCAAATCACCCCTGACAAATGGCCATCCAGCATCTGCTTAAAAGCTTCCAAAGAAGGAGCCTCCACCACACTCCGGGGCAGAGAGTTCCACTGCTGAACGGCTCTCACAGTCAGGAAGTTCTTCCTAATGTTCAGATGGAATCTCCTCTCTTGTAGTTTGAAGCCATTGTTCCACTCCTAGTCTCCAAGGAAGCAGAAAACAAGCTTGCTCCCTCCTCCCTGTGGCTTCCTCTCACATATTTATACATGGCTATCATATCTCCTCTCAGCCTTCTCTTCTTCAGGCTAAACATGCCAGTTCCCTAAGCCGCTCCTCATAGGGCTTGTTCTCCAGACCCTTGATCATTTTAGTCGCCCTCCTCTGGACACATTCCAGCTTGTCAATATCTCTCTTGAATTGTGTGCCCAGAATTGGACACAATATTCCAGATGTGGTCTAACCAAGCAGAATAGAGGGGTAGCATTACTTCCCTAGATCTAGTCACTATGCTCCTATTGATGCAGGCCAAACTCCCATTGGCTTTTTTTGCCGCCACATCACATTGTTGGCTCATGTTTAACTTGTTGTCCACGAGGACTCCAAGATCTTTTTCACACGTACTGCTCTCGAGCCAGGCTTTGTTCCCCATTCTGTATCTTTGCATTTCGTTTTTCTGCCAAAGTGGAGTATCTTGCATTTGTCACTGTTGAACTTCATTTTGTTAGTTTTGGCCCATCTCTCTAATCTGTCAAGATCGTTTTGAATTCTGCTCCTGTCCTCTGGAGTATTGGCTATCCCTCCCAATTTGGTGTCGTCTGCAAACTTGATGATCATGCCTCATCCCGAAGGCAGGAGAAAGAGGGGGAGGCAGCGGGCGAAGCGGCTTTGGGGCTGCTTTGCCCGCCCTCCCCCACTAGTTAGTTTATATTTGTTAAAATTGTTCTTCATTTTAATTATTGTATTGTTTTTAAGTGTTTTTTGCACTACAGATAAGATATGTGCAGTGTGCATAGGAATTCATTCATGTTTTTTTCAAATTATAATCCGGCCCTCCAACAGTTTGAGGGACTGTGACCTGGCCCTCTGTTTAAAAAGTTTGAGGACCCCTGGTGTAGTGGTTTGCAGGTTGCTCTACAAGTTATTTATTTATTTATTTATTTTACATATTTGTATCCCATTCTTTTCACCCCCGGAGGGGGACTCTGAGGGGCTTCACAACAGGCATTCATTCAATGCCAACAATAATAATAAATGATAAAAGCAATTAAAACAATTCGTTAATGCTTTAAAATTATTAAAATATTATTTAAATGATGCAGGTTTGAAATCATTTTCCAGGTCAGTCCATTGTCATTCATATAAATTGGGTCTCGTTCTGAATTGCTACCTCTACTGTTCGAACACTTGGTCCCATAGCCAGGTTTTGAGATTCATTCTAAAGGACAAGAGGGAGAGGGCCAATCTAATGTCACTGGGTAAGAGTTCCACAGGCGAGGGGCCACCACTGAGAAGGCCTTGTCTCTCATCTCCACCAGTCGTGCTTGCAAGGATGGTGGGACCGAGAGCAGGGCCTCTCCCGTAGATGTTAGACTTCGCGATGGTTCATAGCAGGAGAAACGTTCAGACAGATAAGCTGGGCCAGAACCATTCAGGGCTTTATAGGATAAAGCCAGCACTTTGATTTGTGCTTGGTAGCAGATTGGCAACCAGTGGAACTGGCATAGCAGAGGGGTTGTAGGCTCTCTGTATGTCGCTCCATTGAGCAACCTGACTGCCGTCCATTGGACTAGTTCAAGCTTCCAAGCAGTCTTCAAAGGCAACACCACATAGAGTGTGTTGTAGTAATCTATTCGGAATGTAATGAGAGTGTGGCTTACCAAGTCTGACTTACTATGATTCTGGAGGCCAGGGTTTGACTCCACTCAGCCATGGAAGTTCAGTAGGTAATCCTGGCTTAATCGCACACTCTCAGCTCCAGAAAGGACCAGTGGCGCAGTGGGTAAAACCCTTGTGCTGGCAGGACTGCTGACCAATAGGTCAGCACTTTAAAGCCGGGGAGAGCGAGTTGTGCTCCCTCTAGCAGCTCCAGCTCCCCATGCTGCTCCCCATGAGAGAGCCTCCCACAAGGATGGTAAGACATCAAACATCTGTGTGTCCCCTAGGCAACGTCCTTGCAGACGGCCAGTTCTTTCACACCAGAAGTTACTTGCAGTTTCTCAAGTTGCGCCTGAAACGGAAAAACAAAAAAAGCTCCAGAATACCCTGTGACAGGGTCAAATTAGGGCAGAAACAACTTGGAAGGCACATAACAGCAACATACATAGATTTAACCCTTCATATTTGGTTCAGCTGTTCTCCTGTTTTATGCTGTACACATTTTCTCAAGATAGCCATTGTGATTGCCTGCCAGAATATTGTATCAAAACTTGCCATGCTAGAAACACTTGAAGTAGGCATAGATGAACTACTTAGATTGCCATGTTAGTCTTATCTAAGTACCCTCAAAGTGCATGTTAATTCAGGTAGTCTCCCAAGTTACAAAGATCCAACTTACCAAGTGACTTGTAAAGAATGGGATCAGACAACAGGAAGTGAGAGAAATCTACTCCTTGGGAGGGAAATGCACCCCTGAAAGAGTTATCATGGCAAATAGGTTTCTCCACTGAAGTTTTACCACCAGTCCTTGCTTCTGCAACAAGCCAAATTGTCAAAATCCAATTATCAGGGGGACCAAAAAGTGAGGTGAAATCGTTTAAAAGGAGCAGACAACAAAACAAACACCACAGGGGTTTAGACCTTCCGTATACTATCCAAAACTATATATATGGCTAACAAACCTGCAGAACCTATCTTGTTTGTAACTTGGGAACTGCCTGTGATCTTGAGGAAGATCTGCTGGCACTATAAAGGCTGGACTAAGGCGAGATAATGAGAGGATTCATTGGAAAACCACAGCTCCCCCCAATTCATTTTTTGATTTAAAAAATTAGGGGGGTGGGGGGGAAGCCGCTATTATAAATATTTTAATATGGAACACTTGGTACAAGGCTGCTGGCTGTTTCCAGGCTATGGGCTTCTTATAGAGAAATCTAGTTTTTCTTTTCTTTTTTTTTACTCCGTGGTATTTTAAAAAAATAAAAGACTCCTCAGTTTTGTCATTTTATATAAGAAATCCCATTTTACTACACCATTGTGTATAATGGGTCATGAGCACCCA